CCGCCCAGGGGGCGGCGAGGTCCCGAGGTGGTCCGCGTGGGACGTGCCTCGGCTGGGCCTCCCAGGAGCCCACGAAAGTGGCGACAGTTGCGCAGATCGCAAGCCCCCCAGGGGGAAGCGAGGTCCCGAGGTGGTCCGCGTGGGACGTGCCTCCGCTGGGCCTCCCAGGAGCCCACGAAAGTGGCGACAGTTGCGAACATCGCAAGCCCACCAGATCCCGAGGTGGTCCGCGTGGGACGTACTTCTGCTGGACCTCCCAGGAGCCCACGCAAGTGGCGACAGTTGCGCAGATCGCAAGCCCCCCAGGCGGCGGCGAGGTCCCGAGGTGGTCCTCGTGGGACGTACCTCCGCTGGGCCTCCCAGGAGCCCACGAAAGTGGCGACAGTTGCGCAGATCACAGCCCCCCAGGGCACCGCGAGGTCCCGAGGTGGTCCGCGTGGGACGTACCTCCGCTGGGCCTCCCAGGAGCCCACGAACATGGCGACAGTTGCGCAGATCGCAGCCCGACGGCACTAGAGAAGGGGAGAGAGGAACACAGGAAACATGAGAGGAGGAGGGGAGGTGAGGGGAGGAGGAGGAGGACGGGGCGACCACACTGCTCGATTCAAAACGAGTACCCAACCATAGGAGGGTTGGAATAAAGAAAGGGGGCAGGAGTGGAGGAAGAGGAGGAGGACAGGAGGCGAGGGAGGATCGTACGCCACCGAAGCGAGAAACAAGAAAGAGGTTCGAGGAGAGGGAAAAAGGAGAGGGAGTAGAAGGAGGAGGAGGAGGAGGAGGAGGAGGAGGAGGGAAAGGAGTATGAGAACCAGTGCGAACCCAAGATTTACCAACTATGGTGCAAGCAGCCCTCCCTCCAAATTCCTTCCTCATAGGTCCCTGCAACAGTTTATGTTCACTGCGAGAAGTGCTCCGTTGAAAGACAACCGCCTGAAGACCTACAACCATGTCAGAGCTCCTTTCCTGGGACTCCGCGCTAGATAACCATTTCCGTAAATCAACGTGAGATTGCCGCGTCCTGACAACCCGAAATTGTAGTGCCATTTCTTGGACGTAAGCAATACGAATCCTTAAAACGGCTGTAAGCTGTTAAGACGAGCGTGCGTGGCGCGATGGCGAGAGCCACAAGTTTAATAGGAACCACCGTCCGCCGTCCGTGGAACTCTTGCAACTTTTAATGCGAATGCGCACGGCGCTTGGGCGAAATCACATTTTGGAAACGGCCCGCCTTCCATGAGTGAGACTCTTACAATCTTGTAACCCGAATGTGTACGGTGCTCCTGCGAGGGCCATATTTTGAAATTGACCCGCCCTCCATAAGTGAGGCTCTTGCAAACGTTCAAGACGAATGTGCGCGGCGCTTTGGCGAGATCTATCTTCCGAAAACCGCCCTCCATCCGCGACGCTCTTGCAAATTGTTAAGTCGAATGTGCGCGGCGCGAAGGTGACAACCACATTTTGAAGACGGCCCGCCCTCCATCCGCGGAACTGTTCTAACGTCTCAGCTTCAGGAACATAAATGGTGAGGAAGTCTCAGGCGAAACGCCCGGCCCGCCCTACTGACCCGTCTCGGGGTGCGACAGGGAGAAGTTATTTATCAGGCACAGGATGGAGGAGGAGGAGGAAAGGGAAAAGAAAATAGAAAAGGATGAGGAGGCGGAGGAGGAGGAGGAGGAGGAGGAGGAGGAGGAGGAGGAGGAGGGAATGGCGTGGTCAAGTGATGATGTTCGGATTCAACATATATTTCTTTAACCGGCAAGGTTTTGCTGCCCTGGGCCCCGCTTGGGATCTGGAACGGTGCATACGCTCGTGGCGTTTCTTCGTCGCCGTCCTTATGCTCCCCCCTCCTCACGCCATCCTCCGCGGTCCATCGTCGTCCCCTCCGCCTCGTCCCTGCCTCCTCCTCCTCCTCCTCCTCCTCGTCCCCTCCTCGTCCCCTCTCCCCCTTCGCGTCCTCCTTCCTCCCGCCCGTCCTCGGACGCTGTCGGCCAAGATCTGTCCAGTCCTCAGTAATAGGCCTCTGCCCCCCCTCCACGGAGACGAGCAGCCCAGAGGGACCCCAAGGCCTCAAGAGGGATAGGGAAGCGGAAGGCCCTGAGACCCGTGTCGCGCGTCCCAGGGTGGATCCTCCTTCCGACTCTGCGCCCCCGAGCCTCCATGCCGTTGTTGATGCTCCTCCTTCTGACTTGCCGCCTCCTCCTCTCCCCCCG